GCTGCACAAAATGGCGTCGCTGAACATTTCCTATTTCATGATTTTTTAAAATATATACATTGTACATATAAAAGTAAAATGCCTATTTCATGACAATGATGTTATTTATGTACTGACGAAAGGAAGACAAATAGAAAACTATGTACTTATTGACTGAGTGGGAGGGCCGTACGGGAAAATATTTGGCTCGAAAGGTTATGCCGTATGGAACGAGCCTAGCGAGATCCGTACAAATGACCGAGAGCCAAATATTTTCCCGTACGGCCCGACCTAACTCAGTCAATAAGCATTTTATCATATGACAGCGTACAAATGACCGAGAGCCAAATATTTTCCCGTACGGCCCGACCTAACTCAGTCAATAAGCATTTTATCATATGACAGCGTTTTTTAATGTAAAAAAAAAAAAATAATAAATAAAAGCACGCGGAACTTCAAGCCGGAAAGATACGGGTTTGCACGGCCCTGTCGCGAAAAGGCATTCGGCCCCCATCGCCTGAACATTTCCCAAAGGTTTTTTTAAGAGCGCGCATAGGGCCGAAATACGGGTCATATGATAAAACAATAATGTTTTTAACTTAAAAGTTATTTGGCTCGAATATCAGTTTGCTTTTCATTATTGCAGGTCATTTCCACTTTACCAACCACAACTCAAACAAAGAACTCACCAACTGAAAACTCTCCTGCTRTGGTGCTAGGTATTGCGACAGCTTTTGGAATCGCATTCCTTGCCGGTGGGATTGTTGCCATGGTTATGATAATACGCAAAAGACATAAGTAAGTTTATTGGGTCAGGCTCTTCTATATAGTCAATTAAAGGACCATGGCTCACCGGCATCCCTTTTAGTTTTTACGATTGAAAATAGAATTGCATGGTAATATAAGTAAAGAAGTGCTCTTTATTATTCCTCTATGCTCTATGAATATGTAGATATTGTTAGATTCGACATTAAACCGACAGATGGAAAAGGATATAAATGCATGGAATATTTGAAGTCAACTCATTTTCAGTTGAAAAATCTAAACCACGACATCGCATGAATTGCTGCTGCATCATGGCCCTTTAATCCTCAATGGRAGCCTAGCATTTGGATTGCATTAATTTGATTATTCTCATTTCTATTTTTTATGCTATAAATCTATTTATGCCGTTATGCATCTTTTTGTCACACACACAAACAAAAAAATATCACAAATTTCTGCATTTATATATTTAAATAAGCTGGAAACGTTTACATGCCGTTAATGCACTTTGGAGACCTTCATATACCTACTCTTTCMTTCGCTTATCTCTATTCTTTTTATCAATTGATATTCTTAGAAAAAGAATACCGAAATCACCATCGCAAAATGAATTAAGTGCGCCTCACAGCTGCGATATTGGTGAATCATCACCTCAAAGAAATCCCGAAGGTGGTAAGTGTTGCTGACATCTCATTTACTTATATTTTGTAAGGCCCRGTTCATACATAGAGGCAGCGTCGCACCGAAAAAAAGAAATTGAATTCAACCCGTGAATAGTTTGACGTACGAATCAAGTCAGTTCGGCGCGACCGTAGCGCGGCAGTGGCACGGCAVCGCCAGCCGTGCTGCATGGCATAAGCTCGACACTGATTCAAACGTCGAGATTTCGTTGTGCTGCAATTAACGTACAAAGATAGCTATGTTTTCGACAGAAATAATGGATGTAAGTTGTTTGTTATCGGACCTTTTCGTATGCTTTTGTCTGCATTTGGTTCGAAGTATAAGTCAACGCCTTACCGAATGTATTTGGGTCGACAACAATTGACTACAGTTAACTCTCTTTGAACGACCACTCTTGTAAGCGACCATCTCCCGTAAGCGAGCACCTTTAAAATTTCCCGTTTTGTTTCCCATATAAACTGTGTAAAAAAACTAGGCGACCATTTTCGTAGGTGACAGCGACCACCTTTGGGATTGAAATTGTAGAATTTTTCATTGTTTTTCCTCTCCCGTAAGCGACCACCCMCGACTGACGCAATAAAGGCGTGTTATAAAGCTTACACAAATTACATTTCTTAATAGAGTTACGTTACTTTATAGAGTACAAACCATAAAATCGTACTATYAAATACACTATATTGTTTTCAATAGAATTAGGACATTAAAATCAACTTTAAGAATTTGAGGAATGGCATGAAAGCAGTATTATTGTTCAAAGATTTTGTACACTGAAATTCGAACATCGTGTTTTGAACTATTTGGGCCTCCTATGTTGTGATTATCACAACCTCGTTCCCAGTACTACTCTGCACGCCCTGGCATCGGCCGGTCAAATATGGATTTTGATTGGCTAAGATTTTTTTCACTTTTCATTGGTTGCTCATTTGTTGTGACTTTTTGACACAGAAAGAAACAATTCAAATGTAAAGTTGATGGAAATTTCTAAACTAAAATGCCTAAGTTCAGCATCTACAAGGTGCTAAAACTACAAAAAGAAAAAAAACATGAAGTAGACTATCGCCATGCACTAGGTCTATTTACAGTAAGTAGAAGTGAAGGCATGAATATTCGTGAGACGTTTGAACATGTTGAAGACAAAAAGAAAGCGAAAAAGACTTTGCATAGCATTACAAAATATTTTTTGCAATATTTCAAACGAGCCACCATTTAGAAATAAAATGTAAATGATATATATAAATTGTAATAAAATTACATGCCGTTCTTGGCATACTTTTATCGCCTTGGACATCTGATCGCCGTTCGTTCTCGGCGATAGTGGGCACGAAATGTTATGTTCGGACTTTTTTATTTATCATTAAGCTCATATTACTCACCAAAGATGAATATCTTAGATCAAGGCGGGAAAACAAGTTGTGAAAAAAGAATTTTGGCATGCTTTTTAAACTTCCTGGAACATCTGCTCTCCTTGTTGTCAATCACTTGAAGCGAAAAAGTAGTCGAGACTGTTTCTTTTAGGGCCACAGTTTGCTAAACTGGATTGACAAAACCTCAAAAATGACAAAGTTTTTCCTTCTCTTTCTATGATGAACAAGTTTTTCTGGACATGCATTCAAACACGGATCGGAATGTAATGAAATTGGCGGGAATCTTCCAGATTGCATTAAAAACGTGTGAAAATTAGCTTTTCAGAATGTTTTGAAAGTTGAAAAAAGTTAAATGTTGATCTCCGAACATTATAATTTTCCAAAACCAAATAGCGCCTGCATTCAGCGGTAATCCACACTAAACACCCACTGAGAGTGGGTGTCACGTGACCGGCCAATGCCARGGCTATCTCTGTCCGCCATTTTGAAAAAAGCGAGCAGAGTAGCCCTGGGAACGAGGTTGTGATTATCATTGTTTGGGTTTCCTGTGCTAACGTTCTCGTAAGCGACCATCTCTCGTAAGCGACCGCTTTTTCCTGATCCCGAGGTGGTCGCTTACGAGAGAGTTGACTGTATTTGGTTCGGATAGCACGACGTATGATCCGGGCCTAGTTGCTCGCATTCGTGTCTACATGTCTGATTATATCCCGCCAATGTCTTCTTAACCACAGTGACATGGTCACCTCTTAAAAATATCTACCCTTCTTGTGCCAGAAAACTTCTTGGAAACCACTTGTCGCTCCTTACCTTTTTCAGAGAATTCCTACAGATATCTTCACTGTCCAATTTTCCTCGTTTAACCAGTTATTAATTCGATTTTGAATTCACTTTGGTGTAAGATTCGGTGATATCACATTTTTGCGACCGAAAAATTAACGTTTTTGGTGTATGACATATCACATATTTTATCAGCTCGTTTCCTTTGTTTGATGATTTGTACCTCGTGTAATAACTTTTGTTTGTGTTTGTTCTTTATTTTCGAATGCATCTTTTGTCTACCCGACAAAACATTATTCCTCGCTATGACAAATATTGTGCTAATATATTTTGATTTTTCATAGTTTGGTCTTGTTAGGTTATTTAGTTTTAACATATAAAGTTTCTGATTAATTTAGTATGTTTTATCTCAGGGTTAATTTACGACTACGCAACAAGGGAAAACATATGGGCAAAGCCCAGGGTGACCAACGGAGGCTACGAAATCCCRCAAGACGATAAACAAATGAATAACATGGTGTCCAACGAATTCTATMAAATTCTAGAAGATAATAAACATGCAAAACTTGTTGAGCTCAATGGTGGCTATGAAATCCCAGCAGACAACTGGAAAACAATGCGCAGGGAGTCCGACTTGGATAATGAAATTTCAGTGGACAATATTTGCTCAAAACTCAGGCAGCCCAACGGTGAATATGAAATCCTAGACGACAATAGGAGACCAATGCACGGGGAGCCCAACTCAGATTATGAAGTACTAGTAGACAATGATWATTCAAAACTCAGGGAGACCAACGGTGGATATGAAATCCCAGACGACGGCAGGAGCCAAGCACACAGGGAGCCCAACTCGGCTTATGAAATTCCAATAGACAATAAGAGATTAAAACGTAGGGAGACAAATGGTGGTTATGAAATTCCACAAGACTACAAAGGGGCGTACGTGGATATGAGTAGAAAAGCTCCTGGTAAAAATGATTACATGGCAAATGCTGGAGAAAAACCATGTAATAATACATTGTATGATAGTGATGAATATGTGTCAATGATTTGAATATTGGTATGTCTAATACATGGTATGATAGTGATGAATATGTGTCAATGATTTGAATAGCGATATG